ATTGCTGCAAGTCCACGGTGGGGTTGGGCTCAACACTTGCTTGACTTCGAGCAGCGATGCCGACAGCACCACGGTTCTGCCGAGAGTTCATTAACCTGTTTCGCTGAGGCGACAATGGCACAGCACGGCTTTCTGGTTGAGGACTTCCTTGAGGGCGAGTGTCATCTGCTCTGCTCTCCATGCCTCCAAGTGTCGCCTGAGTGTCACTGTAGTCTTGGACTCTGAGGCTTTGGCCCTGGCTGCCCGGAGCTTCGGCTGGCAGCTTCCTGACCACTGCCGGTGTGGGGTCGGTGGAGCCCGCTGCTGTCGGCGGTGGCGTGGCGGGGTCTCTGTGCTCGGAACCTCTGCCTGCGATGTCCCCCAACACTCCATGCAGCGGGACAGTGGAGGGTGGCTGTGGCACTATTGCAGGACGCCGCACGCCTGCTTTTGCGCGGTTCGGTGGTACGTTCGCTGTGCTGCCTCGACCCGGCTCCAATGCGTTCGTGAAGTTTGTAGAGTTGGCGAGGAACTCCGCCTCCCCATTTGCAGCACGCGCATCCTCCCAAGAACTGTATTCAAATCTGCTGCCATGCCGAGTTGTGCCGCGGCTGACCGGTGCGATAGGCACTGGCATGGTCGCTGGCATCGGTGCCGAGACACCGCAGCCTGATGCAGTTTGCAGAGCTGGTGAAGCTGTCTCGGCACTCTCCTGAGAATCGATGGTGTCTGCAGCTCGATTCATCCGCGTCCTCTGCGGAGAGGACCCAGTGCCCCCGTCGCTGGCACGTGCTGCATGGTGCATGATGGTGGTTTGGTCGCTGAGCCCACTAGCAGCTTCCCTCCTCCTGTTCACATGCCTGGCCGTTGGCGGTGGAGGAGCCGGCAAGCCCTGTGCGGATCTGATGGCGGCAGCATCTCTATTTAGTCTACTTTCCTCCACAGCCTCACCAGGAGGCACAGAGGCCAGTGACGACACGGGCCTAGCAACACCCGGCGAAAGGAGGCCAGGTTGAAGACTGCCCACATGGTTGGCGGCACTGCCCTGACTCTGCCGCATGCTGCCACGGCCCGTGGCAACGAAGTCTCGCCCTGATGGCAGCGCACTCGAGGCGCTGGACATTGGTTGCCTGCCAGACACATCGGCGAAGGAGGCTCCTTCAGTTCGGTGTCGTGCAGGATCCTCTGCCGAGTAGTTTCTGGGTGGCATCTGTGAGCTGGTCATCCGCCACTGCGTTTGCAGTTCTCCCGGGTCATCTGCAATGTGCCTTGCTGCAGCCAGCGGGGCTGCTGCAAGGTCACCCGCCATGGGACGGTCATCAGCACGGGTATGTCTAGTGCCGGGTCGGACAGTATCCAGAGTGCCTCGTTGAGAGCTCTCGCCTCGTGCGTTGTTTACAATGCGGCCCTCCGGCAGACGACCAGCGTCTTCGACTATGTCCAGATCCGAGTCTGTGTACGCACCCCCCTGAAAAGCAGAAGGTTCGTCTGTCGTGGCCACTCGTGACCTCGGGATTCAACTCATGCACAAATGCACAACACAGACTTGGAGGTCCGTCACAGCCAAGGAACTCGGCACGAGCTCTCTGTTGGCCATGGTGTGTACCCAGCACTTCCGCCCGCCTTTCGCAAGCGCCGGGCACTGGTCGAGCCTGCATCGGCTCAGAAAGCAAGTGTGGGCGCAGCGGAGGCGGGCAATGCTTCCGCAGGCCAGGAAACCGGATGTCTAAGTTACGGCCTGAAGCCTCCAGACTCACACAGCCAAAATCGATCTGCCTCCAAAAATGGCAGCTTCGACGGACGGATCGTCACAGTACTCTTCGGATCCTTCCGAGGTGTACACAGGAACAGACACTGACAAGAGAAGCTGTTAAGGGTGGCCATGCGCATCCGATGGTCGGACGTCTATTAAACAAGGCAGGCTATGCGGTTCAGAGTAGGCGATTACATCGATTGAGGTAGTCACAATACGCGGCGGCGGTTCCACAGCTCCAGCTCTGCCGCCGTAGCACACATTTTGACTCAATTGCATTCTGGCTAAAGTTCCGGAGGTCTTTCAGTGGCCCGTTCATGGTTTGGGGTCTTTGCGAGTCTAATTAGACGGGTGCTGGTGCACTTGGTTGGGGATACAGGTGGGCGGCCTGCGAAAGTCCATACCAGTCCATTACTATTGCACGCAAATGGATATGGTGCATGATACCGCATCAATGGCTTTGAGGTCCTTGACCTTGATTTCTAAGAATCTAGACTCTGGAGAGATGAGGTTTCTAACGTGGTATTCACAAAAAGTTCAGGTGCTCAGCTGGAGCTTGGTCTCGTCCGTAGCATTTCATGTAACCACAAGAGAAGCTTGGATGGGTCCTCCCAGCTCGCTCGAAAGACCATCTCCATCTGCTGGCCATCCTGTCCGGTCAACACACTGCGCCGCAAGAATCACTGTGAGCTTGTCAGGAGGAGGCATACCCGTCCTTGCTTCTTAGATGCCGGCACTGCAGCCGCCGATGGTATGGCAAGCCCTCCCACCGCACTACACTCAGAGACCGATCCTCAGCTGAAATGGCCGGGCACCCGCTCACACTCCTCTTCTGTATGCATCCCGTACACCAGACAAGAGTTCACCTTCCTTATCGTGGCCAGAAAGGTTGGTGAACACGCTAAGAAAGCTCAAGAGAAGACAAGCCACTGAAATGGCGAACTGGAAGTCTGCATGCATACTTTCGATGACCACTGGGCCCGTGGTGTACCACCAAGGAAATCGCTCTGGACCTTTCGACTGGGATATAGCAAACATCTGTGGCTCCCTTCAGCTGGGGCGCAGGCTGGTCTCCAAGATGATGCCATGGTACATATCCCAGCTGCCGAGGGCAGTGCCCGAGCCAACTAAAAAGACAACCTGCCCGAGCTTCAGGGCCGCAAGGCCGGGCATCCGAACTCAAAGAAGTTTGCACCTCTTCTGGCGCTGTGCAGGAGCATTCCAGCCTCAGCGATGGCAGGGAGTCACCAGGGGTGCAACCGCAAGTGTTTTCCTGCAACGAAGCAGCTCAAAGAACGCGATCATGAAGCAACATCTCAAGCGGCAACGGCATGCATGGCATGCAGTTCGGAGAAGGAAGTCTATGTCGAGCCCTCGTGTCTGAGATGCCGCCCATAACGCGACTGGTTTCAACACCTAGCTCTCTCATGACTCATTTCTTATGCTAACCCTGTGAAATGTAGATGATGAAATCACCGTTTCTTCGTCTCTCGCCACATGGGGTGCATGGTGCCGCACACATGAGACGACAGTTTGCTTGCCCCGGAAACCACCTGCCCAAAAAGGCTGCGTTGCAGAGGCCTGCTTCCGACGCAAAAACAGCTTTTGGGCAAGTTGCAACCCCGATTTCCCCACGAGCAGGGTTGGCCTCGGCCAAGGCCGATCGGACCTGTGCCAGATTTCTTAACACCTAGCGCACCTGCCTTTCCGACATCCAAAGCTCCCAAGCGGCCTCTTTCGCAAAGCACAACCCCTGGCCTGGAGCGCTCCGCCCAGACCATGGAAAGCGTGGAGGTGTTGCCTGCATGAGGGGTGCGGGGAGGCACAGGCTTCGGCGTTCCGGCGCTTCGGCGCTTCGGCGCCGCGCCGGACCATCGAGTCGAAGTCGCTCCTGCGAGGGCGGCACTCTCTGCGCCTCGGCTCCCTCCCTCTCAAGACTCTCTTCATGTCCTCCGCAGCCAGGGGGTCGTCGAGAGGAGCTGGGCAATCTCACGGTCGACCTTCAGTGAACCAGCGCAAGCTTCTGCCTGCTGCCAGTCTAATTTCACGGGTGTCGGCTGCACTGTTCCGCAGGAAGAACCTCTCCTTCTTGGGTTTTCATGGGCCTGGCCCTCGTAACAGAATCTACGAGCTGGATCAGCCCGAAGTCGGAAACAAACTATTGACAACCAGGGTACACCTGACAAGTAGCAAGTAGACAGACCTGCTGCAGCTGCTGAAAGACCAACGCCGTGATGCTCACTCGCTTTGGGCAACCCAGGACTAGACTCGAGAAACCTGCTAGTCTCATGCGGGCTTCACCCCCCCCCACTAGGTATTCGCTTGATGCGCCTTGCCGAATGCGATGCCGAGGTCATTTACATGAAACTCCACCAAGCCCAAGGTCCGAAGACCAATGAGAATCCAAAGAACCGCAGAGCTCCTGCTTTCTCCTCATGAGCATGAGTGCAGTGCTGTCCCACAACGAACTCTGCATCTGGCGCGACACTCGACCAGCAGCTACAGTGCCAGAGTTCGAATGTTGACCTGCTTGTAGTTGGAGACTTTCGTCTCGATGCTGTATGGCCTCCCTACACTTCAGCTCTAACGTCTTGACACCCACTGAGCTCAACACTCAATCTGGAGAAGTCTGGAATGAAACGGAGCTCGTCACGAGCGAGCATACAGGTGAAAAAGTCACGGCCACACGCTCAGATCTCACATCAGACCGTGGGCTCTGTCCACAGATCCAAGCAGACAAGGGTGTCAGCCAACGCCTCCTGACAGCAGAGGCTCGAGACTGCCACCATGGCAAGTCGACCTGCAATAAGGTCGGACTTCGGGGACTTGCTTACTGGCTGGGCCCGGTGCCAACCAAACTTGTGGGAGAAAAGCTCGCACAAGGCAAGGAATTCGGCCGTGCAGGTCTGGAGTGCACCCGGCATGTCTGCCCAGGCCACAAAGCTCTGGGAGAAGCGCTGGCAGCCGAGCTCGTAAGCACATGCAACCATGCACATCCTGCCATGCACTACAGATGCAGCCTTTCGGCTTTTGAAAAGGGCCACGTCACCGTCAGCTGAGAGTTCCAGCGGGTCCCAAAAAGCTGCCGGTGCCTGGACGCCCAGGAGACGGGCAATCGCTGGCCTCAGTGTTGAAGCTGACCCACGCGGGCGAACCTGGCGAAGGGACAGCACTGGCACACACATACGACATGTGAACTGTCGAAGTTTGCAGGCAACGGCCTGCCATCGTCCGGCGGCAAGGCACATCCCAAGCGCTGCCCATGCACACCGGCCTGACCAGCGGCAGATCAAGCTCCAGCACTGGTTTTGCATGGCTCCATCTTCTTCTGCCTGATTGCGATGGCCCCGTAGCTGTGCTCACTGTGCTCCTCCAAGTAGAACCTAGGACAATGCAGGAACTTTCTGTTATACTTCCACTTCTCAACACCCACTCCAAACGCTACGGCTAGCCATCTCGAGACGATGTAGTCCCACAGCCTATACCCGGGAGTCTCACCAACGCCCCGAGTCTTTGTCACTGTCGGCAAGGAGGGCGGCGAAGTAAATGCCGGTGACAGCATGGCAGCACGGAACAAAGAATCCAAGAAGGGAGTCAAAACCGTCAATTTGTGCCTGGGATTTGTGCAACTAAGTGGGAGGTGGTAGTAGTGGAATGGGAGTGCAGAACTTGCTAGCGTTCAAGAACCGGAACCGGAACTGCACTCCCTTGAGGTTTCACAGGCCGTTCAGGCAGCTATGTGGCCTGTCATCTGCAGACTCTTCCTGCTTTGCTCTTGCTGCATGTTTTCTTTATCATGCAGTCTTACATCTTCCACTGGCTAGTGCAGCACATTGTCTGCTTCCTGCGCAACTGTGGGCGCACACCAGAAGCTGAGCTTCAGGAACTCGGGGAAGATGGAAAAATCGATAAGAACCAATGGGCAGCTGAAGTGCACTTGCCAAAACAACTACCACGCTCCCTGTGCCTGTTTGGAGGTCAACCGAAGCAAAAACAAAAATCCCAAAGCTGCTCACACCTGGCCAGCTGAATCGAACCTTGGTGCTGTTTTGCAAGCAAGCGCCCACATCTTAGATTCGGTGTCGTGACATGTAAAATCCTAAAGACCCGAGGCGGATGCGGAACTTCCAGCCTGTCCTAACCAGCCCCGCAGACAAAACAAACATGCGAAGGCTGCAGATTAGTGCATTTCGCCCGAACTACAGCTTTTCAGAGAAAGCCGACTGTCCTTTGCCGTCTTCTTTGCGAGCAAGGGGGCCTGCACTCGCGGCTCGGCTTGTAGGAAAATGCACTTCTCCCAGGCGCCCCACCCGGAGGGAGTTGGGGCTCGTCACCGGTGGCGCAGGCTGAGAAGGGAGCCGAGGCGAGCCTCGAAAGCAGAGCTCTCCGATGCTCTCCGCGGAAGCTGTTCTCGGGCTGCTGCTGCCGGAATTGCCGGAACTGTTCATCGCAGATCTGAGACCTCGTGAAACGGCTCTGCGAATCTTCCCAGATCCCAGAAGCATCGCTTGGGCGCATCACTGCGCATGGTTGCCGTGCGCTCAACGCGGTCGCTCTCGTCTTCGATGTTCTCCTTCGCAGAGCAGGCAACAAAGATTGCTGACGTTTGTCGTCCTGGCACGACGTCCTGGATGAGCTTTTCAATAACATCTTCCAAGGTGATGATGCCCTTCATGTGGACATCCTTGGGAAATGAGCAACATTCGGGCCGACTTTAGCGGTAAACGGAGGACTCTCGCCAAGGTGCTGGAGGGATGGGCGTCCCTGTCTGCCAAGCCTCCTGAACGGCCTGACACAGGTAAGCCGGCCGTGTTTCCTATTGGGCGTGCCGACACACCTCCGGATTGCTGGTGACCAGCCCCAGGTGACACTTCTCCTCCTCAGAGACAAAGTGACTGAGCCTCACCACAGCCGCCAAACTCCCAGCCTGAAACTTGTTGAGGAGATCCAACCTGGCATTATGGCTTAAGCGCCGATCACCGGATGCGGCCACAGAAGGCGCAGCAAAAAAGCCAAGCAGCATGAGCATGTTCCCAGGCACCACAGTCATCTTGAGCAGATGTAGGTCGCCAAATTTCCTCAAAATGCCCCATCGACAAACGTGCATGTTTGCCAGATGCCCGTCTTAGATTTTCTAGCCAAGCTACAGCGAGCCATTCAGCTGATCTGGTAGGAGAACCTGGGTGCATTCGGCGAGAAAGGATGCAGCTTCGGCTCGCATCTTCGTCCATTGCCGAGGCGCGATGAGCCTTTTGACCAGAATAAACCCTCGCACGTCATGGGGACTCCTTGCACCCGAGCACACCATGCCGTGAAGGAGGCGGCGGTAATCACTGGTATTGTCAATCACATCGCCACAACTGGCTCTAGCACTAGCACAGCTTTGTGGCAGAGGAGCCTGGCATACACTGGGACACGAGAGTGGCCGAAGTTATCCATCTCCTGATCACATGCTCTCTGCAACTGCTTCTGTGCCAAGGCATATACTGACGGGACATACACTTCGCTCCCGAAGCGAGTCGTGCGTGATAAGCGAGTCCGCATCCAACCTGGGAGCTGATCGGCCGAAAGCGACAATTAAATGTCTCACCGATGACAGCAACCGTCGAGCAACGACATCAACCTGCTGAGTGCTGCACATGTGAGCCTGACTGAGTGGAGTCATGGCCTTAGGTCTGACTGAAGGTCGTAAAATTTCGCAGGGCCCACGGACCCATCTTGCACTAACGTGCACCGACACACGATGACCAAGGACGATGCCTCCTCTGCAGTCATGTGCGTCATATTCATGACGCCATGCATGATTTTTATCCTCGCAGGCATCTGAAGGGCAGCAACAGTCGCAGCAGCCAAACACCAACTACAGATACTAAGCCGCCGTCTCATCTCTCTCTTGTAGCCGGAAGACACCCGATGTGAGCTCTCCGGGCAAAAACGTAATCCTCAGTCACGCACTTCTCCAAAACAGCGGATGTCTGGCACGTTGGTCCATGCCGAGAATCAAGTCCTCCCGACTCCTGTCTCTCGTCTTGTACAGCTGGAAAGCCATGTCATGACCTGCCCGCAGACAGGGTACGATGTACGATGCCGAGGCAGGGCTTCGCCCCCGAGCCCTTTCGTCATTAGTCCACGAGTCGCATGAAGCATCTGCTTCACCTGCCTGTGTCGGAACCTTCCAGGTGTGTGGGTGAGCAGGGCAGGGTGTAGTACACCTGGCCAACCTGAGGGCAGCTTGTATCCTCGCCAGGCTCAGGACCAGTCCAGAAACCTGAAGACCCCCTTGCCTGAAGTTTCGTTGACTTGGCAGGGAACTCGGAGGTCTCGGTGAAAATTACCTGTTCCGTCTACGCCAGTTTGGCATTTTTGAGACGGCCGCAAGATTCGTAAGGTGGCTGCTGCACTCTCGCTGTTGAAGGGATGTGGCTGCGCAGTGCAAACGATTCCCAAGCCCTTCTCGTCGTGGCTCATGAATACAGCCTGCACACTGCAGTAGCCGACTTATACCTGCACCATTTTGCCAGACTCGGCCAAAAAGTACGACAGTACGACATCCTGCCTGGTCCTCTTCCTCGGTGCCCACTCGAAGCCCTGCGTGCATCGAAACGATCGCACGTAGCTCGGCCTGGGACGCCCAGCGCCGAGCCGCATTCACCAGGCTCTAGGGACTCTAGGGATGATGGAGTTTGTAGGGTGGTTTGCGGTTCTTTCTTTAAGGGGATGCCGAGGAATACTTAGACTCAGACTGCACAATAAAACCCATGATGTGCCTTCTGGCCCAGGGTTCTGCCAAAGCTAAATTCAGGCGAGGTGGCGAAGTTGTACCGTCCCTTGTGGTCTGCTCCAAGAACATGATCAAGCCTTCGCATCACAGTTGAGTGAAGCAAAACGCCAGCCGAAAGCCTCGCGACGTCTTGGGCCCCTCCGGCCGCTGCACAGGCAAGCAGCAGTTTAGCAATGGGCCACGCCACCGGGGTGAGCAGAAACATGAAGGCGCCTTGGGTGAGTCATGAGTCTGCCAAGCCTCCAGTTTACCAGAAGTCTTGCATACAAGCTCTCAAGCGGACGTCACTGGCCAGGGCACTCACCAGCCCTGAGAAGCGAGCCTGACTTTGAGTTGCAGTTTTGAACGCAGGAAAACCGACCAGATGCAGAAGGGTTGCGGCCATGCTCAGCTGCTCGCTGCCGGTGAAAACCGCCGAGGGAATAATTTCTCCAAACCTGCAAGTCGAAAACCCCAGTAGCTAAGTAGTTGTACAAATGTGGCTCATAAGCAACACCCGAATCACCAATCCCAAATTCAGGCCAGTGGCATCAGCACCAAGGAAACAGATAGCACCACGGCCAACCAAGACCTTAATCACGCAAAACCTGCAACTTTTTCGAGATGGAGCATGTCTGGGCATCGTACGGCACGATCTGATCCAGAAACAGCGGAAGAGCTTCGTTCGCAATCGAGTTCATGAGGAGCAGTGTGACCTGCGAGGACCGAAGCTGCAAGGTTTTCGGGGTCGACACACCCTACCCAAGCGGATGAACTTCACCATACCACGAGTCGCTGACCAGCAGCAGGTGATGGTCGTGAATCAGCGGCAGAATCTTCTCAGCAGCAGCCTGGTCCTTGGATCTGAAGATCACTTGCTGGGGGGCTTCTGTCTGTGCATTCACAGCATAAGCAAGACAGCAATGCACCAGTCATGGCCTGTCCTTCTTCAGCTTCGCCTTGGCTGAAGCCTCCATGATATCCTGTCGACTTCAGGCCGCTCGCCGGGAGGTGGAAGACTTGGGTCCGGCCTTGTCTTCCGTCTTCACGATGATCTCCATCTCCATGGGGTCGATTGAGACCAATCCTTAATGCCCCGGAGCAAGTCCCCACATGGTCCGCCAAAGTGTTCGCCTTCACGTGCCAAGTGTCCCATCGTCAGGCCGGCAGCTAAAGCGGCGCCGACGACGCAAGTCAAGGCTAGCAGGCAAGCCTGGCACGCGTGGGCGGAGCGGAGCAGACTCGTCAGCTAAATGTCTCTGGAGGGGTAGGGCTCTATTGAGCCCGTCAACGGGAAGATGTTGCCACCCAGTCCAAAAAACAAAACAGTGCAGTGGAGGGCAGTTCTCACAGAACAGACACTAAAGGGGCAGGAGAAGGCTTCAGGCTTTATCCGGCAGAGCTTGGATTGCTTTGTCTAGCCGACTTGTTGGGCAACACATCCTGCCTTGTAGAAACCATCACTGCCGACCGGCAACAAATCGCCTGCCAGCATCGACAAATGCTAGTACTTACTTTGCTCGTTGAGCAGTCGGTCGCCAGCTGCGTCGATGAAGCATGCAAGTGCACAGCCGAGCACAGGTGCCTTCTGAGACACTCTGTGCTCGATGCTCCGCATGGTGGAACTGGGCAGCAACCCGCTCATACTCCTCAGCTTGCCAAGACAACCCGTCGCTGACTTGTGCTGATTCAGCAGGAACAACGCCGCGGATAGCTCCAAGAGTCGGCGGTGCACTCCTCCAGCGAGCTGAAGCTGACATGCGAACCTGTAGGCGGCGCCGCCAAGGCCGCGGGCAGCAGAAGCAGCTGCCAAAGCATGGCCAACGGCAACGGCAGGCTCACGCTTGGAAAACTAGCGTCCGCTGAGGGACTGCGAATGCCTATCCGATCCGATCCACATGCTATCGGAACAGTTGTTCCGCCACACGCATACAAAGCACATGACTACTGTTATGGCCAGGTGCGATCTCTCGGCGCAGCTGCTGCATGCGCTGTCGCTGTAGCTAACGCTGTCGAAGACACATGGTGCACGCGGAAGATGTCCCAAATAAAATTGGCAGAGTACACGCAGCCAGTGCTGACTGAATCTGAGTAAGCCACACCTGCCATGCTCAAGCAACAACAACACTCGGCAAGACTTCTCCCGAGCAACATGGACGGCATGGCGCTTCATCCTCCACGCCTCTCAGCACGCACCTCTGTGCGCTTCTATCTTGTTCCTCGCTCCACCTCCGGAAGCCCGGCTTCGGCCGAACGGCGTTTAGATCCGGGTCCACGAATCCCGAATCGCGCAAGCAACTCCATAACTAGGACCCCGATTTCGATACGCAGCTGATATCTAGGGCGAAGGTACCGCACTCCGTTTTGCCCGGGCAACACTCCACAAATCAAGGCAGCAAGCGGCCCTCTCAAGCCAGCAGCTTGAAAACCGAGCACACAACTGGAGAAGAGTCAGAACAGTCTTCACAAGCATCATGCGGCTTCAAGAAGGCTTGCCGATCAGTTCGAAAACAAATGATCGGTTTGTGTCCGCGCACAAGCCCGCCGTGCATGCTAGGGCCGGTTGTCTCCGCCGCTGCCAGCCAATGCAAAGCTTGTGAACTTGGCGATTCCTGCTCCTGGCCTGTGGTGTCCTGTTGCTGCTAGCCTGCTTTGGCTGCGAGAAGCTCAGACACCGCGGAAAATGAAACGCCTCTGTAACATCAAGAAACCGTGCAGTGCCGCAGATTAAAAAGACTCTGCCGAATTTATGACGTCACCGTTTCCCCTAGTCTTGCTGGACACAGACTTCTCACACATTGGAGCGACTGAAATCAGCCGCAGCTCCCACACTGTGGGTAACCCACTGGCTCAGAAACTGCATTCAGCCAGGTACCGCTCACGCGCTGCAAACATCTGTCATCCTGGCTGCTGGCGCAACAGTTAGCCAAGGAGAAGTACAAATGAAAGAGCACGGCTCAACAGAATCTGCTCGTGCACCAGCTCGACAATCTCTCGCTAAAGTGACAGCCGAATGCAGCCGAGGGGTTGAAAACTCTTTGCAGCAAAGCTTCCCCACATGATCTGCTGAGCAAGCACAAGTGCTCCAGAGACCTTCATAGGCTCTTGCCCATCGCAGCTGATGTGCGACATGCTGTGAACAACATATCTGGCCTTGGCAGTGGCAGCTGAAGGGCATGCCGAAGGTGTGCCAATCCTATCAATGGGGAATGATGCTTCCTACGACCTGGAGTACTATCGACGTCTTGTGTCAAGACACTCGGCACTCATCCAAATAGGGACGTGCATTCCACACACAGCCATGCCCGACATGTCACGACAAACCACTTCAAATTTGCGACAGTCCTGCACGATTTTGTCCACGGCGGCTGCTGTCCCAAAGACAGTCAGAATCAGAGCCATGGTGATCTCGGCACCTGCATGCGTATCAAAAACAACAGCGACAGCAGTCGTATTGCTTCTTTCGCCTCATTGTCGGAGGCCGTGTCTTCTCAATAGCCAAGGGAATATCAGCTCCGCTAGCTCATAGGATTCATAGGCACGCGTTCTGGATTCGCGTAGCGTCTCGGCCATCGATCAGGTCGAGGGCTTGTACAGAAGCAAGGTGTAGCGTGGCTAAAGGGGGCTTCCCGAGCTGCCAAGGGTGTCAATTTCGACACAATGCAACATTTAAGGTCGAGATGCAGCAAAATCTCTCCACACAACCCGGTTTTATAGCACATATCAGATATCACCAAGGGGTACGAGCATGTCAAGCATGCAGTCTGTGGCCTATGACAATCCACTCCACGATGGTCAACCAGGGGTGACCTGAGTCTGGATGCTGCCAGAACATGGCTCCTGCCGTCCACACTGAAGCGTTCAACGCCTGCCTGAGGAACGCAAGTGCGGATAATCCCAATAGAACCTTGTGCGGCGGGATCCAGGCAATCCACCAACATTTGCAACCGTGTGTGGTGGAAAGCGCGAAGCTTCGACTCGCCTTATCAACCGGCCGAGGACCTAGGCCTAGTCAGCAGGCCTGATGTAGAGAGCTGTCGGTATCAGCCAGCAGGAGATCCTCAGGCAGGCGTTGCACACGCTCCGCATCTCGGAAACAAAGGTGTTCTGATAGAGCCCGAGTGGCGGTGTCACAGAGGCACCCAGCAGGTCCACGGCATCAGAGAAGAAGGGCACGAGGTTCGCCAAAAGCCAGCAGATGCAAAGCACCGCCACTACCGTCGTCCTGGGGCACTGAAAGGCTTCGGGACTGAAGGATGACAGCTACTTAACAAGCGCGAGCATTGCAAGGACGATCACATGCTGGAGCTTCAAGTTCCACCTGTCACATATCAACCGGTGCATCTTCGCATCAGGAGATCGTTGTGGTATTGTTATTGGTTCTTCTCAACATCTTTGTAGGACGGGTTGCGAACGACGGCAAGTGTAGGCTTAGCGTGCCCTGCCGAATCCCCTCCCAAAACCAAGCATCAAGTATCCAAAGTCTGCAGAGTCATTCAACTTCACTTGTTTCAAGGATGAAGCAAGTCTTATGCCAGGATGCGTCCAACCAATCCTCAGCTCTGTCAAACAGTCAGCCATTCCACTCGCAACGAGGGTGTCTGGTGGCCAGATGACTGTGTGGGAAAACTCCACACAGCTTGTTGATCCTGACAAAGTTTCCAAGAGCGTGTTCTGCTGTCGCTGGCCGATGCGAAATCTCGATCCACAAGCCGATGGATGGATTTGCAGAAGACCACACCTTCACAGCCACAGGCACCACATGCAATTGACCCAAACATGGGAATCGTCATCAGCTAGGACATTCCTTGACCATCGGGATCCAGTAAACAAGGGAGAGACAGGCTCTTCACACTTTGTTCCGAAGAGGCTACAATGGCTATGTCCCTGCTTGTCAGGATACTTCGCTTGGATAGGCAAAACTGGAGCTGTCAAAAGGTACCACTTGCGAGCCGTGCTTGCATCAAGAAGCCAACAGCGAACAGGCAGAAATTAAATCCCATGTGGCCTTTGATCAGGTAGGAGATCAGCATGTGGGCTGCCATGCATCCTCCAGGTCAGGCGCTTCGGAAGAACCGGCGCAACGTCGCTAACGCAAGAGTCCCGCTGCGATTTGAAACGGCAACCCGAAGGGCAAGTTCTCATTCCTGAGATCAATGCACTGTGCTTCTGCATATGAAGGCGTGACCTGGTGGCAGTGTGCAGAGTGCGACTCCTTCCCCCTGCTCCCGGCAGGAAGAATCTGACCACGGCTCAACATGCCGCAACAATCCGCAAAACCGGCCTACGGCCGTAGCGGAAGAGGCTAAATACAGTAAATACAGCCGTGTGGCATCATGCCAGAGACCTGAACAAGGGCGCCAAGGTGAGCAATTTTTTGTTTTGCAATCCGACGCGGCCTTGCTGCCCATGAACATGTAGCCACCGATCCCGGCGATGGCAAACATGGACAGTTGGAAGGGGGCGGAGATGCCTGCCTTGGTTCAATGGAAGTCGGTTGCATCAACATGGCGAATGGCACCGAAGCTGAGGAGAACACATAGGCCTTGGGCAACTGCATGGGAACTTTCATCTCAGATATGATCTCCTGCAAGCAAAACGTGCTGTGGCACAGGTGACGTACTGTCACATCTCAGGATCTCTGCATGTCACCGATTGAATTGCGATGTCCCATGACGACACGGTACGTTGATCACAGGGAGTCTCTTTTCAGCGGTAGGTGATGTGCAGGGAACCAAGGCCATGAGAACTTCATGCGGGCGTCCATCAGCATGAACTGTGAGGTCATCCCGAAGGTAAAAGTTGACAAAGCGCTCAAGATGTCCTCAAACCTAATCAGGGCTGCACAAACCTGGAACATTTACGGCTTTTCGAGGCATCGGAATCCGAGGTCTGCACTTTGGGTCGACGAAGAATTCGACTTCGCTTCCTGGAAGGCGAATGCCGCTCACGCCAACGATGCCATAGTATCCCAGTGGGATCCTCAAGCTGCTGAGGTGAGGCTTCCGCCACCACGAGAAGCTTTACAACATAAAACCGCCTAGTTATGCCGACAGGCAACATCACAGTGCCGCAAAGCGTGATGACATTCACCCAAACTAGTGACTGCCATGAGCCCATGTGTCGAGCAGTTCCCGCAAACGGAAGTAGCCTCGGCAAACATACGTTGCACAAAGACAACACAAGTCCATCATGTGTAATGCCAGAGGGCTGGAGGCCTGCAGATGAATCAAACATGCAATGCCGACAAATCTCCTTGTTCTGTATAATGTGCCGACACGCCACAGCAGAGCTGCCAGCACAGCCCACACTGGCAAGCAGAGATGGGTGAAGTGTAGAATCATGCCTCAGTTCAGCCGGTAATTTTCGAAGCAAACTGTCGGATAATTTCCTCTCCAGCTAGGATACCAAGGCCCTTGGCCCCACTCATCAAATAGACTGCAAGGAGGCCAAAGAGGAAGCTTTTCTGGCAAATTGCAGTGAGGATTACCATCCTGGGGCCACTTGCACGGGTAGCGATACGTGAGTCCCCACAGCCTACTGACGCCTGTGATGCCAAGTTTCAGGTGTCGCTGCCAGGCGGGAGCTTCTGCGAAGCAGTCCCGCACCAACTCCTTGGACACGCCCTCTCAAAAATCAGGCGGCCCAGTCCTAGTTCCCTTACAGATTTGAGGGGGCTGGCCAAAACACTGCCGAGGCCGCTGTTGCTGGTGCTGGTGGCTCTGTAGCAAGTGCTGACACGTCCTGCTTTCTTGCATGACGGTGCATGACGGGTAGCAGTGAAAGTCACGGAGCCGATGCAGGTCGGGCAGTACATCCTGCCGCAAAACAGATCTGCTAAGCCAGAGCACATGCAACATGCACAGTGTTGTTGCGACGGCCAAAGCTGTAGCTTCAGAGAAAGATGCCAGGGGCTATTGCGCTGGACAAACACAAGTGCAAACATGTGAGCACTTACTCACGCGCGCGTGCACACACACACACACATACGCACGAACACGCAGAGAGAGAGAGCGAGAGAGCATGCGCGCATCAACACGCGCATGCATCACGAAACTATCTGCAACACATAGACTGAAACATAACCAATGGGTAATATGACCCACCAACTCGTCATAAAGAGCCAACAAAAAGGAAACACTGCCTTACAAGGCGCAGTTATCCACTGTGACGGTCCTGACCCGCCACATCAGGATGGAGATGTGCACGTTCGCGAGAAGCAACACCACTAGACTCAGTCGAACAGCGTACTCATCACACATACCACAACCTAAACTGCAGCACTACCCACGTGCTTCGCCCGCAGTCCAACATGCCTGTCTTTCATGTTCGTGCGTTATCATCTTCGACGAGAGCTTTCATATGAACAATGCGCCTGCACCTTACTCGCCTGTCACACTCCACACTTCTATTCACTACTGAGGCTCCGATGCAGTACGGTAAACTTGACATGCAGGTTCGTGCGGACATCAAGACTGTAGACCAGGAAAAGGCTGTTGGCTTTGCCGATGATTTTCAATGCACTGACACTACAGATTTTGAGGGCACTGCGTGATCGTTCCAGGCACCAGCCCCAGCTTGGCCATAGCCTCGGAGCACACGGTGAGCCAAGGATGCCGTTCATGTGGGGTTTTGCTTGGCCCGGCACCAGGGGCATGGCCAAAATACCCGCACCAACGACATCGGCCACAATGATGCCGGCAGTCAGCCAAACCTCAGGCTCGTCGCGACAACTTGTAGTACCTTTGTGGTGCAACTTGTCAGCAGCGGACACCATTGTGACCCTCCAGCTCCTTCAGATCACTGTCCTGGAAAGCAATGGACACAAGAGACGAAGAAAGAACATTTCCGCTGTTTCAGCACGCGATCACTAGCGCTCGCCCTTGTCCTGTGAATCAATCGCCCTTGGATGTGGGGACTTGGAGAGAGAAAGGAACTGGCGACGACATCGACAGTCCATCTAACAATCTTGGCCTACGAATTTCCAAGCCCGGCTTGACGTCCGAGCATCCACTTGTTTGTCACCATGTCCGAGTCCGATTCAGTGGCGCAGGACTCCGACATTGTTGCAACACCACACAAGCCGAGGCCCAAGAAGTGCTACAAGCAACTGCCTGTCTTTCTGCTGCTACTGCCGCTATTGGTGCCGCTGACACTCGCTGGCTTGCTGACATGGCTATGGATCGGCCATGACGGCATCCGTATGTAAAACGAAGCCTGCCCATGCTGTCGCCGACCGACGACTTGCGACCTGAATGCTTGATCTGCGAATCTACGAATCTACAGTTCTTCATGGAATCGCCATCTGAGCAAGGCAAGATCGGCATTCAGCCGATGCAGCCGTGTGTGCAGCAGCTTCAAAAAAAGGTGTGACCAACTCTCCCATCATGGTTTCTGCTGAATGCTTGGCACGAAAGTGGAGATAGGCAGGCTTTATGCCGTGCTCCTTTCCTCAACATGTGGGATGTCGCCGAACTTCTGCATTGCCTACTGCACAAAAAGCTGCTGGCGAGAGAGACATCTCAATCTGTTTGCGGCCTGCTGCCAGCATCATGCCCACACCGTCCTCAATTTCAACATGGCGTCTGGCCCGCCGGAACCCTTTCATACTCCGTGTGCCCGAACGACAACCTCGCCAGCAGGTGTCGGTGCAGTGCAGCACAAGGAAGTGTCGTACTCTTATCAACAGTGAAACCGGGGAAGTGAGCAGCAGCTACTCTGAGGCATTCAAACGTCGCACCAAATGGCCATGCGCGCGGCCGTGGGCCCTGACTCTGTGACGGACACCGTGCAAGCGAATTCCGCTCCTGCAGACTTCTGAGTCTGACTAATCACTACTCTTTGCTGTGACAACGTGTTCCAATCAGGAGCCGTGCAGGAGCATTGAGAGATGGACGAGAAAGCTGGAGTCAGAAAGACTGTGTTTATGACTCTCTGTTTTCTCGTCTGGCTAACGCAACCTTGCCTGAGCCACTCTTCTTCGTTGTGACCGTAACCCTGACCGCCACAGCCTTGCACCAACGAGAAGACGTCACTGTGCGTTTGGCTAAAGCCCTTTCACAAGTGGGGCTCAGACAAGTTGCCGAATTCAATTCAACCGAGATGCAACTGTGAGTCATTCCCTCTACCAGTGAAAACAATGGGCTGGCTGCGACAGCTATGGCACCTCGTATGGGCTAGTCCTCTACCCGACATATTATCTAGGTCACGACACTCACCCCCTGAGCGCACTGTGACGGCCCGCTAACGGTGCCGGGCTCGTAGCTCATCGAAGCGTCTGCTCCTAACAATGCCCCAAGAAGCTGTCCACGGAGCAATAGCAGTGAGGAATATCTGACATTGAACGAATGCACAAATGTATTGGCAATGACATCCACGATCAACAGCAGGGAGCTAGCAAGCGTTTGCCTGCGAGGTGGCAGCGCATATCCCACCAGAGGATCTTAGATGCAGAGGCCAAGAGGCCACGAGAATACCATGATGCAACAACGGCGTGATATAGATGGCTTTAGCCAGGCAGCCCAGTGCCCACAACCCACGGTTTCAAAGCAACGTTTCTGGCATTCCTCCTCGGAGGCCACCTTGACGGCACCGCCAGCATGACCGTCCAGCTCTGGTGTGAACTTCCTGTTATACCCGTAGCATTCCTTGCAGCATATCTTCGGCCAAACTCTTAAGACAGTTTGAAATCACACAACTGTATACCTCGCCACGACTGCACATAACGGCAGCAGGGCTCGTTCGGGATGCCAAGGCAGTCCATGGGGCCAGCAACGACTCCCGGCTGAAAGATCTGGCACGACAACGAGGTCAAACAAGCGTTGCATTTCGAACCTGAAACTTGCCCTGGGCGACTAGCAGAACAGCACCCACCTTCGTGGCAGATCGATGGGCGACAAAACAGCCTCCATCCCAAGTGTAGCTGAAGCCACCACATCCCGCCGTCCGCTTGCACCTCGCAATCGTGGCTGCAAGCGACCTTGCCATGGAATGCTGTCACCACATGTCAGGGGCCTTTTCTGGCAGTCCTGCGCAGTATCCTCAACTGTCCGGTCTTCTCCCGGAATCAGAGGAGGTGAATAGGCCGCTCGGAAGCTGTAGCACTGGCGCACTGCCTGCGAGCAGTGACCAAGGACGGATGGAGTAGCGTCGTGGCATCACACTTCGAGAAACAAAATACTGTGCCAGCGAACTACGCCTGTGGGCCTGGTACACAGGCGCCGCAGGAAGCAGCTGCTGTGACACGCAGCATGTGGCGCCACAGCGGCTCGGCACGACGCCAGGCAAAGCCGCAAAAAGGCGTCGTTCATAAGTCACTGTGCCTGGATGACTACAGTACTTGGACAAATACAGGCATTAACAGACACGAAGAAGGGCCAAACAGTGCCAGCGGCAGTACAGACACGCCGGTCCCCGCCTGGTTTCAAGTCTCCTGCTTGTGCAGGCGAACATTCACAGGTGCTGAAAAAAATTCTTTCTAGCAAGTTCTAGCCAGAAGCCACTCGCCCGTCCAGGAACGCTGCAGTTCGAAGTGATTGAGATGTTGTGATACACCAGGGATATATTCTCGGTGTCATGCTTCTTGCCCTGCAAACCGGCTCACAGATGCATGATGCTGAATCACAATGCACAGGCTCTGCTCCTTGCACTCGTCGATTGCTCCTTCGAGGTGGCGATGGCTGAAGGTCTCGAGTAGACACTGTATACGCAGCAATGCCTCAAGCTCGACCTTGGTTGCTGCGACGTCTTTCTGATGATTACCTCCAGGACTTGCCAGCTGCTCGCCTTGAGGGTCTTCTCCTGGTCGCGTGCATTAGCCAGTAGCGCTTCGTGGCTGCTGCGCCGCTGCTGGTAGCATGCCTCCTGAACAAAAAGCAAGTCGGCCAGGACAGCAGGACGGCTGCATTGCAGCTGCATACTTCCATTTGTGGCCTCTGCACTGCAATTTGCCAGCGCCGAGTCGTACAAGTCGCAGCCTGCTTGGTCCAGCGCCAGCTGCTTTGCATCGCAGTTTGCCCTGAGAGCGGCCAGAACCTGAGAGAAAACTCGACGTGCCAGCTTTCCCAACAGAACAGAAGTTGCGCGTCAGCCTTCTGCGCGTCGGTACAGGTGCCCACCTTCGCTGTGTGCGTGAGTCGTGCCTCGGACATTGCACGGTTCATGTGCGAAAACTGAACCGGGACAGTTCCTCTCACACTGGACAACCCATCACCGGACAAGGCTAGCTCTAGTATCGGATCAGCTTTGTTGATTGAAGGGTTGATTGAATTGACTAAGCTCTTGTGGGATAAATCGACGGTGTTGATTTGGGCTGGTCGGTGAAGTTGACTTTCACCTGAGCGAAGCGTGGGGCGCGGCAAAGCATTCTAACATCTGTGGATTGGATTGGACGGACGACCGGGACTCGAAGATCTGGCCTAAAAAGAACGGCATCACCCGCGGCCCAAGGGCTTCTGGGATCAACCCGACAAGAGGAGAAGGAAGAGCAAACCTGTAGCATTGCACCGCTACACAACATGCCAGCTGATTGCCGGGCTTCATTGCCCAAACCCACAAACAAGTTTCGCCACGAAGAGGTCGATTGCAACCGCGGGGTGTTACCGGAAACCCAGCAACATATTTCACCACACTTCTTTGCAACCCCCTGGGATGCCCCCGAAAGTCCAACAACAAGCTTCGCCGTCAAGAAGTCGATTGCAGCCGGGGGGTGCCACCCAAAGCCAACCAACAAGCTTCGCCACGAAGAAGTCGATTGCAGCTTGGGGGTGCGCCCCGAAAGTCCAACAACAAGCTTCACAACGAACAAGTCGATTCCAGTGATTGTTTGGGTCGAAGCCCACCAACAAGCGTCGGCATGAAGTGGTAAAGATCGATTGCAACCGGGGGCGTCCCGAACGCATTCGCTGTCATTTTGCTGTAAACCCTTCCGGGTGAAAGTGTTGGAGAAGCCGCACAGGCACGACGATAAAAAGCCGCAAGGATGAGGCGGGCCTGAGGCGGGGGAGAGGAGGGAAGCTGGATCAGACAGAGGCACGGAGAAGAAGTCGGAGAAAGAGACAAGGAATAACAAAGGCAAATTCAAGCCGGCACTGTCGCCTCTTGGACCAACCTTTGGAAGGCTAGGACGGGTGCTCATCGAGCGTGGTGACGGACCACCAATTCCGAAACCACCACCCTTAGCGCCGCCCCTGGGGACCTGCCCAGCGACCTCAACCAAAGGAGGAGCCGTCCATCTGAACATGCGATTCTCGGCGAACAGTCGACTGCAAGGAGCATGAACAATGCATATCTAGGCCAGGAAAGCAATGCAGGCCCGCAAGTTAGCAGGCTACCCTCAGAGGTCTTGTTGCCACTCCTGCACTGCCAGTGACCTCACCATCTTTACTGACAAAGAACCAGTTTCTCACCAGGTTGCTGCGTTGCAAGTGGCTTCAGCCTGCACGAGACGTTCTTGTGCCCAGTGGAGCTCAGCCAGGGTCCGAACCTTAGGCTTGCCATGGCTTGCTTGCGTTTGAAGCCTGCAGCCCATGCACCCTTACTGGGACCCAGCTGGAGACGGGTCAAGCCACATACCATGCTGTGGCATTCTCTCCGCTCCGCACTCCGCAGGATGCCTCCGGAATTTGATTCAATTCATCGAAAGCACCTCGGGGAAACAGCACCGTCTCGCATTGACAACCTTTTCGTGCAGCATCAGCCTAGCCACGGCAGTGTTCATCTTTCGCTGCTTCGAGAGACTCCAGTTCGGAGATGCAGGTTGCATGTTGGTCCACCGCCGCTGACTGGGTCAAGCAGGTCCAGATGGCAAGTACAGAGTTCGAAGGCCATTGAAAAGACACGACCTGGATGTCTGGCTCTCCTAAACGGTACACCTGTTCCGACATCAGCCAAGAGCATCCGCTGGGCTCGACAGACCAGAAACCCTTCGTGGCTTCGTGGCGTATTAGGCACCAAGCACTCAGCCTTCTACAACATTCTCACGAGACATGCGTGGCATTCAACAGCCGAGAAGCCTCCGCAAATCGGCAGCCCTCGTGCTCGGCACGGAGCGGAGCAGTCCTTTCCCTTTCTGGTGTTGCAGCCTCATTGTGCAACAACTAGAGGCATCACGGCAACACTGAAAGGGAAAAGACTGCGTCGCAAAGCGGCCTTGCACTCCGCGAAGTGCTGAGAAGCCGCATCAAGCTGTGCCTTGAAAAAGCAGCAGACCCCACGCCGTCGTTCCGTCATTCCGTCATGCTCTACCGCACAACGACGCCACAACGGCCATTGCACCTGAATGTGTTGCCGCTGCTGGTGCAGGTGGGGCATCACTGTGTCCTTATGTCGGAGCTTCTCAAGGTATCACTTAAGAATTTAAGAATGATGTGGACAAACTGCATGTGCCGTATCAGATTATGCAGTCAACAATTCTCATCCTGCTTGACTGAAGACAGTACTAATGCCAGTGTTTTCTGGAAGGCTCTGCCAAGAGTGTCTTGATTTCGTTCACCAGCTCCTCCAACCAGCCGCCCGAAGATTCAATGCAAACATGCAGCAACATGATGTTGCCCCAAGCTGGCTGTTGAAAAATCTTTGCTTGGGCAGCACATGCTATCACATGCTCTTGGGGGCTCCTGACTGACCGGCTCCTTCTTGTGCTGGATCAACTGGGCAATTGCTGCTTCCATACCTCAGCACGGGCCCTGTTTCTAGGTGTTGGCATGAAACTACAAGCACACTGACGAATACCTTGGCAACTCATTGCAACTGAGGCCCATGCTCTGAACAGAAGGGACGGACACTTCACGCGCCTGAAGAAAACAAAGCAGACAGCATGCAATGATTCATCGCGAAACCCGTTCTGGGCAAACAACGGTGAAAACTACGAGACGACGGAAGAAACCAGGGACGCGGCAACCTTCGAACGTAGTGCTGCTGCTGCAAGCGCCGGAAACAGCGCCAGCAACGCCTTGCGAGGGAGAGGGAGAGGGGGGCCCAAAGAGCTTGTCGAGTAGGGAGCCCCGCCTTCATTGATCTGATCCATGGGCTCTCAAAGCACGAAACGCTCGGCTGCGCACGGCTGCGGGAGTCACGTGGGCAGACAACATGCACAAACCAAACATCTGCTGCTTGCTTATCTCCAGAAGCACAAGCAGGAGTGGCACTATTCGTCATAGTAGTAGTAGTAGTAGTAGTAGTGGTAGTAGTAGTAGTAGTAGTAGTAGTGGTGGTAGTAGTGGTGGTAGCAGTCGCAGTCGTAGTTAGCAGTAGTAGCAGCAGTGGTGGTGGGCCCTAGAACTCGTGTTGTGTTTCGGAGCATGCAACCAGAAGGGCGAAGAGGACGAGAGACCGGAAGAGTGAGGGTGGAAAAAGAAAAGCGAAGCGGAAAAGCAGAAAAGCGCGGACGAGCAGAAGAGCGAAGCATGAAGGCAGCAAAAGCAAAAGCAAGAACAAGCAAACGACAAGCAAACACAATGTCACAAGCAGAGGGCAGAAAGAACAGCAGAAAAGCAGAGGCGCTTAAGCCGAAAAGCAAAAGCATAAACAAGCAGAAAACGACAAGCAAACAAAAGCAGGAGGTAGAACGAGCATGGAAAGCGTAAAACACACAAGAATATCCAAATAAAGAATACTACACCTCCTTCAGAATTCGCTGGGCTTGCTGCATCCGCCTTGGCACTGCCGCCCTGGGTCTTGAGACCGAACTCGACGGAAAGCCGATGAGGCTGAAAGCTGAGGTTTGAACAGAACTGGCCTGGGAGCCCTCGGCTGGCCCTGATGACGGGCTTTGCCCACCCGCCTGCCACTGCTTGCAATATCTTTCGAAGCCCTGCATTTGAAAGAGCTCTCCCATTCTGAAAGGCCCGTGCGGGGAGCAGCACCGGCTCCAACGCAACGGTCGCCGATGAAGACAGCTTTCCTAGCAAGTTGGCAATGCGTCATAAGAAGTTTCACTCGCATTCGGCTGTGCTCGTTTTTCTTTTCGGCGCTCTGGACAAGAACTGCTGTACCTCGGTCTTTCGCTGCAAAATGGCTCGAGTAGGATCAAGACACCAGAATGTGCGGCATCTCGAGGTACTGCTGCCCGCTTTCTCAGCAAGCGATCAGTCTAAAGCGGAAGCCCATCTCTTTCTGGTCAGAATACGGAATCAGAAAGGGTCAACATCGTCTGTTGGCCTGATAAGAGGCAGGGCATCCTGCTTGCTACAGTAGCTGGAATCCTGGCACGACTGCGCAAGACAGCAATGGCTTCTGCTGTGGAATTTCCGTTCACAGCAGACCATGCGGCGACATGTAGGTCTTATGCAGGAAATGTGTCAGCCGAAGAACCCCGAGACTCTAGGATGGGCCAGGACCTGCACTGACAGTCACCAAGGCAGCTCTCAGCACCTGCTGCTCATCCGAACCTGCCAGAGGATGCGTTCGGGAGAGTCTTAAACAGCTCAGAAGCCAATGTCACATCATCATGGTCTGCACATGACAGGCCTGGGGTTTTCAGAATCCATCCCGGGCGAAGCTCATTGCACACCACTTCCTGTTGGCACAACGACGCGGATGTGAAAACTACCTGCTCCAAAGCGAAAGCTGCCGTGTACTGAGCTCGAACCACCTCTGCGAAGCCTCTTCAACATCAGACCCTGCATGGCCGTTGGCTACATCCTGGCCTCTTTGTACTCCTCCGAGGGAATCATGGAAACTGCTTCGTGTAGCTCTGGGTTGAAGGGCTCGCCCACACTGGACATCTTCTCAATGCCGAGGGATTTCCAACTTTCCAACATCTTGTCAAAGAGCGCTTCAAACTTCTCTACTACTGCTTTCTGGCCGTCGGTTTCGATCTTCAAGTTTTGTTTGGCATATTCAAATTCATCAGCAATAGGGAGGAGCTCTTGCACCAATGGGACAGCAGCTTTACCACGGGCGGCCGCAAGCTCTGATGACGTGCGTTGTCGAAAATTGTCGATTTCGAGCTTGAGGCGAGAATGTGCAGCTTGCTTCTCTTCCTTGACACCACTGAGCTCTTCAATCTCTGCTTGCAGTTTCTCTATGTTGGCCTTGGCCGCGTCCGACAGCTCCTGGCACATGCAAAGGCTGCACTTGGCTGAGCTCATGCTGGTATGTTGGAATTCAGAGACTCACAATGCTCTGGAACCTCTGTTTGCGATTCCGATTCGGAAAATCTTCGCACTGTCGGCCAAGTTCGGGTCACCCGGCTCTGTGTCGCAGCAGACCGAAACCTTGCAAACAATGCACATCCTGAACGCTAGCGCAACAAATTTCGGTGAGTTAGAACATTGGGCATTGCACAACTTGAACTACCGGTAGCAGCACCGCCGACAGGACCTGTCATGTCAAACGTTCCATGAAGAAGGTTTGACCCTTGCCCGACCCGTCTGAGCGACTGGACATGACACAGAGGCTGACAGGGCGTGGCAACAAAACCAAATGAAGTCCCCATGCTACGAGTATCTCAGAGGTTTCAGAATCGCCCGGCGTGCTTGCCGGTCCCAACTTCGAAAGTGCCAATCGGACATGGAACCCTTCATCCACAGACGTGGGTCAGCACGCGTCTGTTATGCAACTATGTCATATTATGCCGTGCTGGCAACTGCTAGTACCGGATGAACCCTTGGTGCAGGGACATGTGCCATGATTTACATGCAATCGAATTTGAAACGAAGGGCTGCCCCGGTTCCAAAAAGCTCGTCTGCGCCGCAATAACTGCGGCCGCTATACCCAAAGAGAGCAATGGCCTTCGGTTCGCCATGGCGAGCACCGCAGCACGAGCGGAGAACAGTCTATTGCGGGCAGTGCTTCATCCACAACACCGGGAATGCAGATGGACATGCAACCAACCGAAGCCAAATTTCCAAAACACACTGTGCTGCTGCTGCCTTCACTGCACTCATCGGCAGGGCTCCACCTGAAAGCGGAAAGTGTCATGAAGAAACGAAACAAATCCAAATGCAGAAACGGACTGCACCAGACTTCGTAAGGAAGGCTCTGTGAATCCGTGCTTCGCCAGGTGTATATGTCGGGCCTGTGCTCCAAACAGTTCGGCAAGGAGTCACTTGCGTTTCGATCGGCATGCAATGGTACATGTGCATCATTCAAGCACGACATGTCACACGTCATGTCCCTGAGCTCACGGCCAAGCCGGTGGTAATATGAAGGCCGCCTTTTGCAAACGATTTGTGTGCAACATCTGGATCTCCGTCATTGTCACACTGCCACTACATCATAGAAAAAGGATGCATCGCGGAAAGTACAAAGGTACTCTGAGCTTGCATGATTGTAAGCAGCAGAAAACAACTGTCGAGCGAGGAAGAAGGGCACGTGTGCGCCACCACGAATCACCCACATCAATGCATCAGCAAAAACTTGGAAAGCGCACTGGTGCTTCAAATCATACCATACCATACCCTACCTTAACTGACCTTAGCGTAGCTTCACCTGACTGAGCCTGGCTTAGCCCAGCCTGGCCTGGCGGGGCACGGGGGTGTAGCACAAAACAACACAGCGTCGCATAGCAGATCATATCATACCATCTCAACTATTGTCAACTCATAACACACACATCTCGCAAACCATCTCATATCATGCCATTTCATTGCATGGCATGTCCTGGGACTGCACCTGCGGCCATTGCATCGCATTACCTTGCCTTACGTGGCCTCAAGGCAATCTCATTTTTCTGTGTTCTCCATGTTGCCGACACACTGGCCACTTGCCGTCTCGTTATTCGCACAAGTGTGCAGCAAATGTGGTGCACGTAGCAATACAAAACGTTTCAGCTTTGCCCCAAAGCCATCCGCAGTTCCGATGCCAGCCCAAGTCCAGACCACAAGTAGCCATGTCGACTGGCAACGATATATGCGGTACGCGCCCACACACACAGAGACACACCTTTCTACGTTTTTCCGACCGCAGGTTTTGGGTCGAGACTTTCAACGCCTACCAATGAAGCCCTTCCATTCTTCGGGTGACCAAAAGCTCCGGGCCAGCCCGGCAGCACCTCGAACCAGATTTATTGAAGGTACTGTATTTTTAGCAACCCGGCCCCCGGCCAGCCCTGGTCCTGCAGTCTCTGCCGATGCTTGGTGGCTTGCCTGCTTCTTCAGACAAGCAAAGCCGTTTTAAGAACTAGGTCCCTCCACGCATCAGAAGCAGCTTTCCGGAGCAAGACGTCGCTCCGAAAAGTTCAGGCCCTTCAGAAAGCCAGCCTGCCGCTACAAAGGGTTTGTAAAATGAAGCTGCGTTTTTGTATTCGTCAAATTCATGCCTTCCTGAGCTAACCGTAAAAGCCTGCCCGGCAGCATCCGCGGGGCGCTTTGATCTTAAAGCAACATTCCCCTTTAATCCGGCGCCCCTGGCCAATATTCCAGAAGAGAACGCGCCGAGCCACCCGCACACGCTTCTTGCACAGCACACGGCCCCGTCGACATTCGCACCAATTAGCGGCAGGGAAAGCCGGCACGAGTAACTTCGGTGCCGTGGCTTCATGGTAGTCGTGACGTGGTGTCGTGGTCACTGGCCGCCTGTGGCGCGCAGTGACCGTGTGCCCGGCAGGCTGTGGTGACGCTTTCTGCGGCCTGGGGCGGCTGGCCCGACGGGAAGTTGACAGGCATCATGAATGCCGCAACGAGTACCTGAAGCCCCCAAAAATAAGCAAGAACAGCCTCGGAGACATCAGCCGTGACTTGCAACATGCCGGTCAACTGCGCAGCATCGCCACGAACCCTGCCCCACGTGTCAATCATGCGCCCAGGGTCAGCAGGAACCAGAGGAGCGCCCCAGTGCCTCAGAAAAGCACTGAATCAAACGCATCCTTAACGAAGTCCTTGAAGAAGGCGGCACGGAACATACGTGTGTCAGCACGATCTCGCTGCTTCAGCACCGACGACTTCACAAAGGAGAGCGACGGAACCGTTGCGGCAGCACCTCAGCTCGCCACTGAAGCTGAAGGCCCAAAATCGCCGGAGCCTGTGCTGGCCCTTTTTCTCTCAAGATGACAGTGCTACTGGATTCGCCCCAGCTCCTCGCAGCCAGCTCCTACATCAAGCAACACCGTTCCAATTGGACGCCCACACAGTTCTAGCCAGGCTTTAGCACTTCACACCTCTTCTACACCGTGTTGGAACTTCTATTTTTCTCTCGGACCCTTTTCCGGCTGCTAAAGGTGCCTGAGCTTGGAGCGCTAAGGCTACAGCTAGCTACCGGCTACATACGGCTACGGCGCCAGCACGTCGCCCGCGAGCAGGGCGCGCTTCACGTGGCGGGGGGACGCTTGGACTAGCACGGAGCCGGAACTTAAGTCGGCTCACGGGCACTGGCTCGGTGCCACGAGCATCCGCGAGCAGGTCACCGA